CGTCCGGACGTCTGAAGGGTCCAGCGTCTGGACGTCTGAAGGGTCCACGTCCCTCCGTTCAATCTTACAAAAGTTGAAATGCCACAAGAACGTCCTGCCTTCGTTCCGCTCAGGAATGAGACGGCTCCTGTGTTCCTGAAAAGAACCAGGACCAGAGCTGCAGATGTTGTGAAGCTGGACGAAGACATTATTCCTAAGCAACATGAGACAGATTACTGTTTGTCCACACATGGACAAAGACCTTAATGTGTGGAGACATGTCCTGTGGTCTGACGAGACTAATTCTGTTTGTCCATGAGCATCGTTACAATTGGAGGACAAAGGAATTTGTGGACACCGTCCCCACCGTGAAGCACGGTGGTGGCAGCAGCATGATGTGGGGTGTTTTTGCTGCAGCAGGGACTGGTGGACTTCATGAGGACAGAACAAGCTAAGCAACATCTGAAAACATCAGCCAGGAACTTAGAAGATCTGTTAGTGTCCAAGCTCTAAGTGGACAGTGTCCCTCAGCATGCGGACAGATTAGTTACAAAGAGGATGAAGGACGACGGAGTCCATGTTCTGGAGTGGACATCACAAAGACCCGATCCCAGTCCGGAGAAGATCTGTGGGCGGAGATGATGAGGCAACGAACCGGGCTCCATTAGACTGGTTCTGTCAACAGGAATGAGACAGAAGTCCAACACTCTGTTGCGAGACGTTTATGGAAAGAAACCAGAACATTTGTCCCGAGACGGACCAGACGATGCTGCCAAGGACCAGGTTCTAAATCCTCTTTAAAAGGTCTCAGTGTTCTGGAGTTTGATAAGGATCCAAACGGACCTAAAACCAGTTGGTGTTTTTATTTGATGTTTGTAGACCTGGTTGGACCTGTACCTCAGTACCAGGTTCTGAGGGGACTCCTGCCAGGATTAGAGGTTCTAGTGGTGCCACATCATGTCGGGTCGGGCCTGAAACAAGCAGCTTTAAAAACAACAACAAATGCTTTAAAACTCTGTTCAGAACTTTTCCGGCCCGGTTCTGGTTTAGATCGTTCAGCGGTTCTGTAGCTGTCGGGGAGGAGAGGAACCAGGTGGAGCAGGCGTCTGGCCCTAGAGCTGCTCGTTTACCTGTTGTTTACCTGTTGTTTGTTGTTCCACCACATTGTTTACCTGTTGTTTACCTGTTGTTTGTTGTTCCACCACATTTGT